CCCCAAAACCCCAAAACCCCAAAACCCCAAAACCCCAAAACCCCAAAACCCCAAAACCCCGTATTTTCTGAATATACTTGAAACGCTTATATAAATTAATTATTAGTTACATGTTGAATATTGTAACTTCTCTATCTTTTACTACCTATCCGAATAAGTTTTAATTTTCTACTTTCTTCAAAACAGCGCTCACGTGAAACTCTTTTTTGATTCTTTGAACCTTATCTGCCATTGTAGGATTATCCTCTGCAGGTTTTACTTCCTGTCCATTAGGCTTATTCTGTTTTGCATCTACATTTTTCTTATTTTCTTCTTCCCAAGACTCTTCGTCGAGTCTTTCTGAGTCTTCTGGATTGGCTGATTTTTGATTTGGCTCTTCAAATTCCCAATTTTTAATAAAGGTCTTTTTCCTATCAAAATTCTTGCCATCCTTCACTACCTGAACCTTAGGATTTTTGATATGCTTCTCTTTGCGAATCATCAAGTCTTTGTTCTTTAGGTTGTCAACTATTTTTTGTGGGTCGTTCATTGCTGTTAATCCTGACAAATTAGACTTATTGAAAGAGTCACCAGTCTTATCAGGAGAACTATGCAGATTCAACTTTGCTAATGTATCGAAGGGGCCATTACTAGTCTGGAACAACTGACTGTAGCTTGATTTGAAGGCTTCATCATTAATCTTGCTTAGATCAAAGGTTGCCAAAGCTTCTTTATATTTCTCAAGATCAGCCATGTTGTATGATACTTCTCCAATGACTGCTGAATTCTTTGTTCTTGTGAATGAGGGAGGGATGTACTTGTATTTATATCTGAAATTCATTGAAAAGAATCTGAATTTGCTCCACCATATTTTGTTTCTGCAGAGATAACAAATAGTCATAAACACGATAATTGATACTAACATGATAAGGTAAGGAATATTTATGACAGCTCCAAATTTTTCAAAAAATCCTTTCTCTTTCACCTGATAGTAGCTTGTATAATATCCTTTTCTTGTTCCCTGTACCTTCTTAGAGCTTTCTGGGAAAATATCTGCTGTCCCAAAGGTTGATATACAAGAGAACACATGAGCTATTAAGATGAGAATTACCATATAATCCACCATTGCAAATGGGGTTCCATCTAAATTTTTTGGCTTGCGGTAAAATTTCAAAACCAATAATTTTTCAATCCAGAAATACAAAAAGACAAATATGGCAAACATCAACAACAAAAATGGAATTCCGTTGACGAGGTACATCACAACTGTTAGCAGACCCATTAGGTAAGGAATCTTGTGATAGTAATCAAACTCCTTTCTTCTTAAGTTATCTTCTAATTCTTTTTGAAGAACTCAGGATTTCTGTTTCATTTTTCTTCTCAACCATACCCAGAACCAATAAGTGAATTTCTCCACAGGAAGGAATCCTACAGTGAAGATCATCCAAAGTGAGTACATAGGTGAAATTGCAATGTAATATTTCCTAGTAGGTTCGTCAAATTGGGTGGCAAACACGCACAAAGGTACAACTAGGTTAAAGATCACTATACTCAGGTAGATCTGCATGAAAAGAACAGCATTCCTGGTTCTAAGACTTCCAAATCTGTATACGTCTCTTAAGGAATTATAGCCATGTTTTACTGCGATATTTAAAACAGCTAGAAATATTCCCATAAGAACTTGAAGACCTATCGTGTCAGATTCTGTGTCTTGGTACTTGGTACAGAGTTTCTTCATCTCAGCATCTGAATTTACAGAATCTCCTTTTAAATGACATACTCAGGTGAGAATAGTTTCAGAGGATGTAGCAAGAAGAGAAGCTGTGTAATCTTCTTCATCATAAGACATTCATTCCATGTGGGTCTTCAGATACTTATAGTTAGAGTTAATCCCTGACGCAATCAATGCTACAAAGGTAACTCCAATTGATGTGAATATGATAGTGATGACCAGCAGTCGGATGAGTTTCCAAGCGTTTGGATAGTTGACGTTTTCGTATATCTTTTGATTAGGATTTTGCAGATTCTTGTGAATTCTATAAGAATCAGTTTCAAATTTGCTTACATAAACTTTTTCTTTGAAGGATCTCTCACTTTTGTGATAAATTCTCCTATTTCAATGCTATCTTCAATTCACTTCTTCTTATGTTCTGGTAACTCAAAGGTAACATATACTTCTTTAATTGAAGTAGCTCCTCCGCTCACAATTAATCTTTCGAGCTTAGCTTTTTGCTTTGTCTCCATATTGATAAATTTGGTTAACTTTTTTGATTCCTCTACCCCTAGAATCATATTCCGTGCTTTAAGATCCCCAACCTTTCTGCTAATCTTTGACATCTTAATTTGATTTCAAAGAATATCTCCTGTATCTTTAATCACTGCTACTGCATGGACTTTCCCGAACTTGCTATCAAAAATCTTCTTAATTTCACTCTCAATATCTCCTTTGTAATCTTTGCTAATATTTACCAGTTTAACAGAGTAATCACTTGCAAAGATTCTCATACGCTCTCTTAGAGTGATCATGCCAAGAAGCATGAGGGAAGCGAAGAAATCTATTGCACCAGTCAGAAATTTTGAGCTTTCTACTTGATCCATACCATTTTCTTTCTCTATATCAAACCTTGACATAGCTTCAAACCCGTTTATATTAGCAATTGATAGCTCTTCAAACCCGGTAAACTCATCATTGCTGAGGAGGTATTCTCCAGAGACATTACTCCCGAAGTTGGTCAGGTACATTCAAAAAAGGAGGATCATTATGAAGGCAAACTTTTTCAAGAACTGCATATAGTCTTTTAGATGTATATCTTCTTTGTCGCAGATACTATCTATGCTAGACTTGAAAAAGCGATACTGGGACCCATCACTTTTTAGGATAATATCCTCTTTAAGCTTCTTTTCAGCCATTTCCTTGTCAGCTTGTGTTCTGTCCCTTCTAATCTGCTCTTCAAGATTTCCTCTGTAGATAATGTCCTTAACACTCTGAGCACTATTGCTCATATCATCTCCCATTAGGTCAATAAGAGTGGGATTTGAGCTCTTGTCCAGATGAATCGTCTTTGAGACATCAGAATTTGATAGAGCAGACTGATTCATCTTGCTTCTATTATTCTCAATATCAGACTTAGACTCTTCGTTCACGTTCATCTTGATTTTAAATTTCTATGAGATCTATATGAAACTGACTTATAGGGGTTTTGGGGTTTTGGGGTTTTGGGGTTTTGGGGTTTTGGGGT